AGTACTGCGGGAGATTTGTCGAGATGCCGGTTGGCCAAATCGATAGCCCAAAAGAAAACACCACCGCTTGGAGGGAGCTGCGCGGATGGGGTTTGGAAAGGGAAAAACAATTCCAGGTTGCTTTGTTCGCAGGCCCCAAAAGACAGCTGACAAGTCTGAGCTGCAGCTAGTAAGATAATTCGGCCAATCATGCGAAGCCGAAGACAACATCCGACTCGGGCTGGCAAATATTGGGCCAGTCAGCGGCGGGGAAGAGAAAAACTCTCATGAATCACCTCGCGCCAACCATCCAATCTTGTGTCACCCGCTTCCGGAGGGGGGGCTTGAATAAAGGCAATATTGTGGGACTCATTCTCCTCCAATCTGCATGGAAAAGTGCCCGGGTACCTACAGCAAAAAGGGTATTTCGTTCTCGATGATTCGGAAGTACTAGTATGAGTGGCCAGGCTGTTCATTGGGTAAGGAAATACTAATTTCGCCAACCCTTCAGGGATTTCAAGAGGAAGAAAACTTCAATGGCGTTCAAACCCTTACCTACAAGTTGAAGAACTATTGTTTCTTCTATCGTTACGGGCGCAACAGGGCCGATACTTCGTGGGCAAAGGTCACAATATACATCGTAAGTTGCCTCCTGGGTTGAAACATTGCCCTCCATTTAAGAACAGGGGCATTGTCTGGCCATTCCTATGCATACTCCGTAAACGCCTACGACTCAAATACTCGATCAATCACAGGATCATGCGTGATAAAACACGATGTTTGTGCAGCCGGATAATTCTGTGAAACTCCCCTCTGGTATCCCTGTCCTTTTGATTGCCAGATATGAATAAAGCCTGGTCATCACGGGCCCAACTAACTACCTTCGTAATAGGACCTTTTCGAGTCCACACGGGAAAGGACTCGCCTCAATTTATCGGGAAGAAAAGACCAGTTGACCGGAGCACTGGTTATGAGCCAATAACCAATGTCGTCGGGGAGGCTTCCCACGCAAGGGCATCGCAACTTGCAAAGAAGCTTGTCGAATGTCAATTGGTGCCGCCTGTCTTTACTTCTTGGTTTATGGTGCCCAGCAACTTCCCCCAGGCCGAGTAAATACTTAAGCGCGTCAGCTATTAAACATGGTGTCCAGGTTGAACGCGGTTTCATAACGCATGCTCACACTCCAAGTATCTCCAACTTTCATATCTCTCCCCGAGAATGAACCCGTGGATACACGGACTAAACATGCTTCACCCTTGTTTGAATCCATGGATCCTTCACAACTGACAGGTCCTCTCAACCTTGGTATGGATCCGCAATACTTGCAGGATCTTGAACCAGATCTAACCAGATACTAAAGGAGCTTATAGAGCTTATCACGGTCCATGTCCTCCATATTCATAGTCAGCAGTTAAAACCAACAACAAATTTTCGCCAGCACCGAGATATCAGGTTCAACCCCCGAAATGACCGTCGGACTGAGAGCTGGGTGCAAGCAAGTATTGAATGACCCCCGCACCCCCCCGGGAGGATGGCTTGGATAAACGCACAAAGAATTTATGGGATCCATCATGGCCAGTGAGGTCGCAAGATTTCCAGCCAGCAGCACCAATCCACTTGGCAAATCCTATCCCATGACCCCCCGTATTTGCCATCCAGAATCATGATGGGCATTCCACGCCCAAAGGCCAAGTACAGGAATCAATGCCATTGAGCATTCTCCCATTCACCGATAACCTTGCCTCAATGAATCGAACAAAATATCAAGAATAATCGCCGTTGTGTTAACGTGAGCTCCTCATCAGTTTCCTTCTTCCTTCGCCATCCGATTGTTCCTTTTATTAGCCGGAGGCAAGATACCCACTCACAATCGAGCCTAGTCAAATTTAGTCCAAGTCAAGATGCATATCGGGCCCAGTCCAGAGACCATCTTCGGGCGATTCGGCATGAACATCCCTGACAATCGAGTGTGGACACTGGAAATTTCAGTAACCATGGCTGGTGGGTAAATCCAAGATCGACATCTTGCTTGCCGCTTGGGCCTCCTATCTGGAAACTGGGCCTCAGCGTTAGCAGAGACAGATTTTCGTCTTGACTTTTCCCCCACACAGATATTACTATATTACTCGGCATTGACAACCAATAATATTGTTGCTTTTGCTCAAGAGTTCTTTCAGCCCCTCACCCAGGCTCAGAATGTGTCCTCGGGCCAATCGTGAACATCTATGGAGAGCGCCCTCAAGACTCAAGTGGGCCAAGAAGGAAAAAGGTCAAGCTGGACTTTGACGTCTTCATTTTAGCTTTTTTTTTGCTTTTTTCTCTCTCTCCGGAGTCCCCACCCTTCCTTCCCTTCTCAAGAAAGTTCAAGGGTTTGCGCAATGGCACGAAAACTCTTTCGTCTCTCTCTTAAATGTTCAGTTCGATAGTTGTACGACATTGGCGTGCCGAATTTACAGGTCATTCGCCTCGATTCTATCTTCGACGTCGCCCCCGCTAGCGTCTGAGGACATCAGATCGCGCTGGACACGCTAGCAAAGGAGCAAAAAAAACATTGAGGCAGTTCTGTCCAGTCCATAGCTGGCAAATCAGCTCGTTCACATGAAATTCCCCATGCAAGCCAGTATCGGCTCTTCAGTGTCTTGCTTGGTTGGTACCCGAATAACAAGTCTCACAGCGGTGGCTAATGTTGAATTTGGGGAGCTTAACTTTTAAGATCTCGTCTCGAATCGAAAGACTAACAGGGGACCCAGCGGTCCCAGCACGATGGATCCGGTGGAGCTACAAGGGTCTTACCCGCCGCAGCCGAGGCTCGCGCTTGCGAAGTATGGGAGTACTATCACACATCATACTGGAAGTGTCTTGGTTATCACAAGCAGAAGCACTCCGGGCGATTTATGGCGTCTACACTTTATTGTTTTTTACTAGTTCTCCAATTTTGCCAATACTATTCTTTTCCTCGGCTAGTTTCTTCTCATGAGTGCTTACGGGGCAAGGCAACAAAATTACAAGTTTTCCCAGCCCAGCAAGAGCTCCTGCATTACTCAATGCACTTTCTCCTCATTCTGAGTCTTGATATCGCTTCGTTCTGAAACCGGGAATACACCTGCATCTCTTATCACGCCCTAGAACCCATTAGTTTTATCACTATGCCTCCGTGGAAATCGACAGAGTAGTACCCCCAACGCAAATACGTCAGACGGCATCTACTACGAAGCCGATTGAAGCGGCGATCACGGTGGAAACTAGTGGATGCGGGTAGTTAAAAGCGAATCCCTTGTGCTTATCCCAGCGCCACTGCAGTATGCGATTGCTGCGATCAATTCAACGGCCACTGCGCCATCTCTGATTCTGCTTTCGGAATTTCTACGGAGTAAGGGGAGGGCATATCCTTAGGGGAAATATTACAATTGGTCATTCTCCCCCATCCATTGTGCACACTATTGCACAAGGTACGTGCGAAGTACATATTCCCTACATATTGCAATTCAGTTTACGGCAGGTATGGACGCGGATCGTTCAATATTGATCCCTAGCCAGGTCTAGACGTAGCCAACAGCAGAAAACGAAAATTCCCTGAGGCGGTCACAGTTTTCAATAGGGAACAATAAGATTGGTATTTGCGATTATTTTCCTCCCCTGTTAATAGCCGCGGCTCACGGGGAATTACTATTTTAGTATACATTTTTTTTATATATCAACATCGTAAACGCGGAGTATAAAAAATATATAGTTCAGTCCACCCCACATCCCTACCCTGGAGCCAAAGGGGGGAAAACCCCCGGTTACGAAGTAGATCCCCAACCAGAATTGCAAAGCAACCCAAGCGCCCGTAGGAACCAATGTTTCCCGCGACGGGAGAATACCATGGGTTTGGAAGACGCAGGGTGTTATTAGAGCTTCGGATAGCGCGACCGAACTATGGTTTTAAAGATGGGGGGAAAGATTGGTTTCGTAACTTTGCTATGGATTCCAACGGCATTTGCTAACATGGATCAGCCCTTTGCAACTAGCTGGTAGCTGGGGGCGGGGGCCCGGGGGAGATTTCAAGACAAGCCCCGACGTTGTTACATATCAAAGCAGCGGAATAAGTCCCCATGCATCCGCGAGTTTTCCCAACGACAATTTTATTCGATATATGGAAATTATTAAACCAATAGGAGCCCCATCTAGGTAGCGCTTGCACTATCTCCAATAGGTAAGACTCACAGCTTGCTTGCATTTCTTTTTCTTTTCCTTTTTTTTTACTTTTTTAATTGGGCGGCACACTCTGTACCACCCCACCAAATCCAGTGCGGAGTATCCGTATATCTATCATATTCACCCAAGCTCAACATTTTTTTACCCATCCCCTGCTGGTGCACACACACACACACACCCGCAGCCAAATGACAGGAAGGCATATGTAGTGTGTGAAGCACCGCATTGCGCGGTAAAACCCTCCCTCCCTCCCTACCTCCCTCCCCCCACCCCCTTTTTCCCTCCTGCAGCCTGTATCGATACAATCAAAAAAGCGGAGAAAAACTTTTTTATGTCAATTCCTATCAGGTCAAGCTGCATGACAATGTGCATATGGCACAAAGAAAACAAAAGAAAAGGGAAAAAAAAAAAGAAGTATTATAATTTTTTCTTTGTTATATACTCCAAGGACAAGGATTGGAGAGCTCAAGGTTTTGTTGAAACTCTCTTGGTGGCTGGTTGGTTGGTTGGATGCATTTCGAAGATGGTGAAATCGATTTGATGGCCATTGCGGAGGAGCACTCACATTCAGTGGCTCGCCAGTTATTGAAATGGATGATGCGTCGGCTTTTTACTAATAAGTTAAGCAGGGTATGTATGTGATTCTTTGTTTCCAGGTGGTGGTTGCTGAACGGAAGCTGATTTGGCCGGTTAACTAGGGAGGGGAGTCAGGGACAGCTCTCTATTTCTTTTGCTTTTATTTGCAGGACGCGGTCATGCTGTCAAAAAACTAGGTAAACGAAAAAGCCAACGAGATGGGGACAAAAAAAAAAAAGAATATTATATGACTAGACTGGGGTTCGATCCCAGGACCTTATCGGTACATGTCATTGTCTGGTGATTAGTCAGACTGACGATGTGAGCGATACGTGATAACCAACTACACCATCCAGCCATTTGTTGATGTCAGCCATGGCTCGCTGTGGCTTGTCTTCCCAGGCTGCATTTGGCACTCTCGTCACTCACGTGATATCGTTTTCGGGCAGAATACTTTCTTTAACCCCGGATTTCCAAACCGAAATAGCAAATTCGATTCGATTCATGGACTGGAATGTTTCTAGTGGATTTATTAACTATAGATACTGGTAAAGAGTATAGCGTGGACGGAACATCGTGGTAGATAGCCGCACCGTCGCAAACTCCTTCTACGCCCCTTGCATACTAGTAAAATATGTATGTCACACCCCATGTAAACCTTCATACCCGCAAGACAACAAATGAGATCCAGGCCCTTCCAAGGTTCCCTCTTCTTCTTTTTTGGCCTTCGCCCATCGACAAGTTACGGATTAACCAGGAGACTGCCAAAAACATCCTAGAAACCGGACATGGATCACCTGAAGAACCAAGATTTAACTAACCACCTTCCAAGCCCCCCATGCCAGGCCCAGCAGAAAACCCTAAAATATCTCCCGGATCAACACGCCGGACCAAGGTCCAAGGAAAAAAAAAAAAAGGTGGTTGGAGTGGAGAAGCAGGAAATGGTTCCTACCCGAACAGCGGGCAGGTATTGCCAATTCCATACATAAATGACTACATCATCGCACGGGCTATCAGGCACAACCACAAGAGACATGGGCCAGCCAGGTACTGGAAAGCCCGCTAGCTACCCCGTGGCGTGAACCCTGGTACGAGAGACGCAGGTACGAAGCGCCAACAAAAGTACTATTTATGTTGTGGTTGAGAAGGCAATAACTGGAATACGTGAATCATTTCTCCACCTAGAGCTAGTGGCCATTTTCATTAAGAAGTCTCCGGATGATGTTTATGGAGGCAAGAAATGATATACAAGGGTTCTCTCCTTGGCATGGTGAAAAAATCAAGGTTTTGATCATGGTGTTGGAAGGTATAACCAGCGCGGGCCCATAAAATACAGGTGTGGTGGGTTTACAGAGGGGGAAGAGGGGTAGGGGAATAAAAAAAGAGATCGGTAGGGAAGAAAGGATGCCGCAGTACGTGTCCAAGGGGTTGTGGAGGGGGTGGTAGGCGGGGATAGAAATCTGGGCGGAGGGAAACGCTGACAAGACCCGAAAACAACAAAAAACCATGTAAATATCAAGCATGAAATGAAAAGTGACACGGTTCTGGTGATGACGATGCTACTGCTAAGTATGGTGGAAAAATAGAACCTGGAAATTGGGAAGGTGGAGGGAAAGGAAAGGAAAGGCAAGGTAGAGTGTGAGTATGATGTGGTATATAGAAACCCCCCCCAAAAGAACGCCCTCCTAGTAAAACTCCATATCGCAATCCCCACAAGCATGGAATGTAAATGAAAAGTTGCGCCCGTTTCGCCATACAAAAGTTCAAAAATCTTGCCAATATACGAACACTGAACGCCATTGCCTGTAAGAAGGAGCTGGCTGGAGTTTTCGATCCGGGTCGAAGATGATGCTAACAAATTCGAAACAGTTGGGTCGCAGCAGCTATGCGTATGCAGGATTTCGGCAGAATAAGCAAGGTGTCTGCAATAAATGGACATATTGACGAGAGCAATAGCCCAAGTAAACTAGGAATCTAGGCGCCTGCGTCGGTGCCGTTTGCCTTGTTACCATTGTCCACTTCCCGGTTGTTTTCACGATTCACGGCGCCTAAATCTGTCGTGTGACTATTAGCCTTGTTGGCCCTGGTTGGAAAGACAGCGCTAGTGACTTTGTCAACATTCGTGTTACCGTTCTCGAGTGCTCCGGTCGCCTTGTCTCTACTGTCAGATTGACCCTGCGACTCTGAGGTTTCACCAACATCGCCAGTCTCATCTCGGTCGGGATCAATCTCTTCCTGCTTGGCGTCAAGATCCATACCAGTGTCGAGGTCACCCTGAGCTGTTTCGCCCTCTGGCTTTTCAAGCTGGTCGAATTCACCGAACTCGTCGTTCTCCATGGACTCGTCAGCGTTATCAGTGTTGTCGAACAGCTTGCTACTTCTCCCCCTTCTAACAGCTCTGCCCGAAGGAGTCGGTGTACTCGTAACTTGGCTGTTGGTCCGCTTCGGGGTATTGCGCCCACTCGTCCTTGTCGTAGTTGGAGCTGTAATCGTACGACCCTTGTTCCTGTTGGCGCGGGTTGATCCGAACGGGCGACCAGGCCGACGCTTGGTGACAGTTCCTTGAATGGGAGGGAATACCTCGAATCGTGTGGGAGGGATACCAGCTGCTGGGTTTGGTATTGAAGAAGTTGCTGATGGAGTGTTAACGCTATTGGATCTCTTCGACGAGATATAGTCAAATGGCATTATGTTCATCGATGGAGGGCCTGGAGGCTCGAAAGACGGAGAGGCAGAATTAGCTTGGTCGTGGCCATTAACAAGGCGATTTTGCATATTGTTCACATCGCCGTTCATATTGCCAGTGCCCCCGTCCCCTTCGAACCTGGTATAACCGTTGTTATTACCATTTCCTTCCATGTCAATATCGTCGTCTCCATCGGGTTCGTCCCGTGGAGCAACGGTATGCAGTGGCGCTCGGTCATAATGCGATTGGTTGCTGCGGCCCATAATATAGGGAGTCCAGACAAGGGCATGCGGATTGAGCCGTATATACCCCTTTGCCTCCCAATTTTGAATGTAATCTTCAAAATAGGAATAATTTAACCTCAAGGCATACGTTTTGGTCACAGGGTCCCTAACTAGGGCCCGCAACCCTTCCAAACCTGACACAATGTCGTCCGCAGTCATGCCGGTGCGCTCGGACAGCTCAGCGATACTAACTGGCGTCTTTTGATTGCGTAGTTGGTAAGATAGGACCAGTCGCCAATAATTGCGGTACGAAACAAGGCCCATATCGGACAGTGGCTTCTCTGGAGAGCCCGTTTTTCGCTCCACCCTGGTCAACAGATAGGAAAAGTCGATTAGGAGGTTACCGTAGCCTTTCCGTTGGTGGATAGGGAGAGTCAGGATACACGACACGTTGTTTGACGAACTGGGTCTCTTTTCTTTGCTAAAATAGCCAACGAAATGGCACCCTAGGTCATCATACTCCGTCATGACGTAAAATAGGAAAGGTTCAACGTCGTAATATAACGTTTTCGATCCCAGGAAGAGTTTAGCAAGTAGGCAAAGATTCTGGCAATACACTGGATTTTTGCGCCCGTCGACCTCAAAAACAGACACAGATCCATCCCGATAGATCTCGTCTCCTGGGGGATGCTTGGCTGGACATTTGAGCTTGTGGCGCCAGGCAACAAAATCGGAATTCATGTACTTGAGGCAAAATTCGCAGATATAGAGTACCCTGTTGCGGCTGTATTCTTCTGGATAAGGCGCAGCATACCAGGTCTCGATTTCAAATCCACCAAAGTTGATGTATTTTATCTTGCTTGGTGGCCCAGAGACCTTTTGTGAAGCACGAGGTGCAGCCTCGCCTGTCAGTTCGGCAGTCGAGACTTTTTGTCTCCATTCCTCTTCGGCTTTTTGGCGGGCTGCTTCGAATTTTTCCCGATCAGCAGCGAGTGGAAGCGTTTTGGAAGTATCAGCATCGGCTTCAGACAGAATTCCACCGTAAGGTTTCGATTTAAGTTCATCGTTTTCTCGATCGTGAAAGGAGTAGAAAGGTGCACTGTATGGCGAAGGAGCAACAGGGTGAAAGTGAGGTTGAGGCGGTTCGGGAGCGGGAGGCGGCTTTGGTGGTCTTCGCCGTGCTGAACTTTTAGGTCTTGGTCGGGAACTCAAAATTTTACTTAATCTCGCACTATTTAGATGGAATGAGAGAACAAATTTCCCCTGCTGACGTTGGATAATGTTGCAGAGTGGTTTGTCTGCGTTCCGTGTTCTTCGTACCCTTGATTGTCGGGACGGGGTGTTGTTTGCATTTTGTTGGTTTTCGATCGCTTCTTGGGCTGCTTTCATATTCTTCGGCATGGGAGTTGGGATCATACCCTCGAATCGGGCGGGGATTTTCTTCTGCCTCTTTTGTGTGACCGTGGCGTGGCCTTCCCCATCTTCGTCGGATGCCCTCCGCTTGCGAAGCGACCTTGACCCGTCCAATGGGTCATCATCAACAATCAGCGAACTGAAGATCGAATGAGACTCTGGTCCTAGGTCTTCACTGTGAGCAGGGAGGAGATCCCTTGCGATATTGGAAGTACTGGACTTTCGCTTGGTTGGAGGCTCCTCCGGTTTATCGGGCTCCAATTTGTTTTGGGTGCAGCTAGGACATCGCCAATTTTCCGCATCTAAGAAGCAATATTAGTGATACGAGCTTAAAAAAGCGACTAAGCTAAGCGAAAATTAGAGACATACCTTCCTCATCATTCAAAACGCCTTGTTCTCGTCCGCATTGACGATGGCCTGCCAAAACATACGTCAATGCTAGCTCCACAATTTAGAAAGGGGACAAGCCAAGCTTTCCCGAACCCATAAAAACTTACAATGATCACCACAAACTGCGCATGACAAATATTCCTCGAATTCTTCGCCCGGATCGTGTTCTTCGTCCTGACCGCAAACTCTGGAGATAATTGGTGAGTTACTGTCCATTATCAAAAGTAATTTTTTGAACTTACATGCAATTATTTGGATTTAACGCTTCTGCATCTGCCTCCTCGTGGTCGTTACTTTCTGCCTCCCATTCTTCTTCCACTTCTGATTCCTCGGACGAGTCGCTACTAGAGCTTCTGTTGGCCTCACTAGACTCGTTCTCAAAAGCAACATCTGCGTCATCAGCATCACTCTCTGATTTCGCATCGCCATCGGGGAACTTGACGGCTCCAACAGCTTCACTCTCATCGTCAGGTTCTCCATCGGCATCAGCGTCCCCGTCTTCATCCTCAGCAACCTCATCACCTGGCTGTTGTTCCCCAGCTTGGCCTTCTTCTGCTATAATTGCCTCGACGTCCTTCCCAAGATTTGCAGGTTCATCGGTATTGTCAGGATGTGGAGTAGTTCCATCTGGTGGAATCTCTTGGT